ATTAAATTAGTAAGAGAAAATAAAAACATATTTTCTTTTTAAAACAATAATATCTAAAAATTAAAAAAAAAATCAGTTCAAAAAAGAAAAAAATAAAGATTAGTTCCTAAAAATTAAATGTAATTTAAAAAATGTTTTTCTTTTTAAAATAATAAAAGCCAAGGCCTAAGAAAAATAAATAAATAAAAAAAAAAAAAAAATTAGCTTCTACAAATAAAATAAAATTAAAAAAAATGTTTATCTTTTTAAAGCAATAAATGCTAAAAGTTAAAGAAAGTTAAATTAAGAAGAAAAATAATACATTTAAAATAGTATGTACTTTTTAAAACGAAATCTAAAAATTGAGAGAAAACTAATTAAAAAAACAACGAAATATAAACTAAAAATATACAAAAAATAAGTTTCTAAAAATAATTTTTCTTTTGCTAAGAATAAAATACAAAAATTAATTTAAAAAAGAGAATTAAAGGAAAGCTAAATTAAAAACTAAAGAAATATGTACTAAAAAACACACACATATATGTTTCTAAAAATTAGATTAAGTTAAAAACTATATAATTTTCCTTTTTAAAACAATAAAATGTATAAGTCAAAAATTATGAAATTTAAAAAAAAAAAACCCTGCTGCCCGAGGGTTCGATCCTCGGATCTCTCAGATGGCACGCCAGTGCTTGGCTCACCGGGCCATTGCGACTGTTCGAGCACCGCGAGTATCTTCTGTTGAAATATGCTCGAGTGCTTTATGCACAGAAGTTAGAGATCTTCGTATGAAGTTAGAACAATTTGTCCATTTTCATAAAGAACATACGGCTATGTTACTCACCAAATCGAGTATATCAACTACAAGTGACCGGAAGGTAGCTGGTAGGAGATAGATGTACAACTATTTACTTTAATGAGTTCGTTATGCTACTATCGAAACCGAAATCATTTTGAGGGGCTCGACCCTATTAAGCTGGCATTTCAGGGTTCTATTTTATATATATATAAGGAAAATTTCACAGTTAGGGGGGGGAGGGGGGGGGGGACTCGAGCAACCCCCTGCCCCTACCTGGCTACGCCCATGTCTATACAAATAAATCTAAATTTGCCCGTCGGTCTAATGCAATCTCCTCCAAGCCGAACCACCAAGGCTTATCCAAACAGACGTAATTTTATTCTCTGACACGGACTTAGCTCTTAAAGCTCTATGCTTGGAAATCATATTGAATGCTGCAGATGACTTAGCGTGATGGGTTGAGCATTTTTCTTTTCACTTACCATAGCTGCGGAGACACAGACATAATATACAATCAAATGGTGTGATAAATTGCACGAAAGAGCACTTTCATATGGCCGGAATGGGTAAAAAAGCAAGAGAGAAGTATCCATGAACAAGGGTGTACTGAAAATGGAAGTAGTATTTAGGGAAGCATGCGAACAGGCTTTGTTGGCGCCTCAATGACTTTCAATGAAGCTGTGGAAACAACGAAGAAGAGTGTGACATCGTTAGACACATATATTTTAGAAATCCAACGCTTTCAAATAGGCCTGAGGAGAAGGGTCCTGTTATATCACTACAGAGAATTTCCACTTAGGGTTGGTTACGATATCATCAGGGGCGGAAGAGGTGAGTTGGGCA